AATATCGCGATTCTGTAAGACCTCCAAGATTCGAGGGGCCCCTTCGCTGTCTCAGGCTTGTGGCCCCCGTTATACTGACGGCAGTACTCACCATCGATTAAAAAGCTTGAATACAAGCTGTGCGTTGGTTGTAATTTAAAATGTTTGTTCAGTAAAAATAAATAATGAAACCATTGAAATATAACTTAAAAGCTAAAATAAATAAATTCAAGTTTATATTCATAATTATTGTAATGTTTAAAATTATAAAAAATAATAATTATTCCATATTTTAAACAAAGAAAATTATCTCTTGATTTAATTTCCTAAATAGAAAATGGCATTGAGAATTTCTGGGGCCTGATAATTGATAATTAAGTAAATATCTGCTTCTATTTATACTGTTTATAGCGTATACGTATGGTTGGCATACTCCACCTATAAATTGCTTCATAACTACTCAGCACATATTGGTCTTGTTTGCCAGTTTATTTAAAAAATTACTTATTGAGATTTGGAAGACAAGGCTCGGGGCGGACCGCCCCCCCCCCCCCCCCCTTTGTCCACCACTGGGTGATTTAGCCTTTTATTTTGCGATCTTGGTCTGGTAAAATTATATCAAGGAAGAAAACGTGCAGTTTGATAGCTTGGCAAATGGCCGCAAATGTGTGATTCAGTATTAGATGAAATTGTATGATTTTGAACCATACAAGTAAATAAATATGACATTTTCAAAAGAAAATTACTTATTTTTTCAAAATTAGTATTTTAATTTATTGCAACTAATGTTTTTCCGACCGAGGAATCAGAGTCATCTAAAAACATGTTATAAGATTCAACTTTTTCTTTCTTTTTACGTATTCACCAGTGTTTTTTAAAGTGTCCAATTTTTGTTTTTCATATCGATTATATCTTTACGTGTATCGGTCAGGGTCAGGACAAGATCTTTGACAGGCTCTTTAAATTACTTTGGCACCCATTTCATTTTAAAGAATGCAAACAAATAGATATGTACCAATCAGCAGTAAGAATTCTTTGATCTTGCAGATGAATTGTTCCTACATGAACCAGTTTTGACTGTTTTGAGACAAATGTTGCCACCATCTTTTTGGAAACATTTCGAAAACGGGTAATTATCGTCGGTTTTGGTTCAACTCGGAACACCGAAACAGCCGATTGACGTTGCAGTAAGATCAAGAACAAGACCAAGCCCAAAACCAAGCCTGTCTTGGTCTTGGTTTTGCATTTATGCTGATCACTACTAACGACAAAATACGTAGAAAGAGTAATAATACAGCATTATAGAGCAAGTAAGTACCATATTCATTAGATGCTAAAAGAAAATCTTAGAAGGTGACACCGTCATTAACTTTATCGATAGAACACGCTATAATAAGCATCCACCTGACCGAGAATCGGCAATCCCGCGCGTCTTCTAGAAATACCTCTAGTACGGCCGACGAATATTAATAGGTCCATTAATTAAGAGGCTGCGCATCTCCTACCGTGATAAAGCGTATCCGGTACGAGCGGCGTGTCGCCGCCTATCGCCTATCTCTCTGCCGATATTCCAGCTTTTCTGATCGATGCTTTATTAGAACAGAACCGGATGGGGATGCCCGGGCGCGACTCGTGGAGGCCACTCTCTCTTAATAGGTTTCCGCTTTTTAATATGTTAACAGCCGGCCGACGAAAATCCCTTTTTAATTGGACGGCGTTTGTGTAGAGCTATAATTGGTGTTAGCACTTAATTTTTTCTCGTCAGCAACGTTTCGGTGCATCGGTAGCTAATAAAGGGGGCGTTAAATGATGTTTAAAAGCAATTTTTCAAAAAAATATCACTCATTTCTTGCTTTGAATGTTTTTATTTACAACTTTGGATATAACATTTTTGGATAAAATGAAATAGCAATGCATGGGCTGTCCATGGTCCATGTTGCTAGACTGGATAAAGACAGATGGACGCATAGAATAACAGTGTGGAGGCCAAGACAATCTAAAAAAAGTGTGGGGCGTCCACAAAAACGTTGGGTGGACGCAGGGGCGGATACAGGAATTTATTTTACGGGGGGTTCAAAATAAAAAGTAATGTAGAATCTCCTTTTAGGGGGCCATTTTTAATCCAAAAGCCTAATATTTGAGCCAATTTATAGATTTTAGGGGGGGGGGGGGGCAGGCCCCATGGGCCTCCCTCTGTATCCGCCACTGGGTGGACGACATTAGAGAAGTGGCATGTAAACGGTGGTTAAATTCAGCACAAAACAGGGAGACATGGAAAAGGATAGGAGAAACCTATATCCAGGAGTAGATGAATCCGGGTTGAGGAAGAAGATTTACAACTTTGAGAACACCTCACTGTAGTATTAATCAATACAAATAAGTCGAAGAGAGATAACCGTGATATAACTAATGATTGATACTGAAACAATTCGATGTTTTATATCTTTAAAAACTCAATTGTTTTTCGAGCTGAGTGGAAACTTGCTTGGTCTTTGTGCAGGATCATTAATCGCTGAGGGTCGGTTTTTCGAAATTCAGCAATTATTTCCGGCAAACAAATACATAAATGTACCAATCAGCAGTAACAGTTCTTTGATCTTGCAGAGGAATTGTTCCTACATAACCCAGTTTTGACTGTTTTGAGACAAATGTCACTACCATCTTTTCGAAACACTACGGGTACGAAGTACGAATAACTTTCGTCGGTTTTGGTTGCAGTTCCGGACGTCGCGTCGCAAAAAAGAAAATATAAATTTATTTATGAACTTTTATAGGACGCAAATCAAAATTTACTTAATTAAATTCACTTTTTTTATTAAAAAAAAAACGGAATCAACAAAATATAAACCAAAAAAACACTCACTTTCCAAGAGTGCAAAAGCAAAAAAATTGAGCGCCAAAGTATACAAATGGGTAATTTCGAACATGCATCGGTTAAGTAGAGCTGTAGCATCGTAGAGACTAAAATATTCATATTCAACAAAGTAACTGAGAAATGAATTCAATTGTAACTGTAAAATATTTTACTAAGTTAAATTGTTTTTGCGGTCAGGTTTCCCGGCGCTTTTCCAAATCTGGACCGGATCGCTCCGGACACTTTAAAAATCCGGACATGTCCGGGTTAATCCAGACGTATGGAAACCCTACCCAGTTTTGACTGTTTTGAGACAAATGTTGCCACCATCTTTTTGGAAACACTTCGAAAACGGATAACTATCGTCGGTTTTGGTTCATCTCGGAACACCGAAACAGCCGATTGGAGTTTATAAGAGCAAATTCAGGATTCATCACCATTGATAATACTGTATAGATTTTTTGAGTATCTAATGTTAAACCGGTGTAGAGTTTTTTGACACCAATTGACTCTGATTGCTAAAGTTTTTTTTCATGTGTTCATTATCCGTTGATACGATGCCGATGGTCCGACGACGCGACGCGACTCCCTGATTGGTCATAGCGTTTTCGCGCCACTTTTCATTCGTAAATGTTTTACTCCAGCCTGTCAACGGAGAAAGATCGTACGAAAACGGACGTTTTGACACTTTTTGGCAAATTTAATCTAACACTAATAAAAATATAATAGTACAAGATCTAGCAACGTCCCGCGTCGGGAAAACAAGAATTTTAAGAAAGCTTGTTCTTTAATATATCGTTTGCTATGCTCTCCTGACCAAAGAGCGGGAAATCTGGCTGCCGGTAGACTACTGCAGTTCACTAGTGCGCATCATATCTGTACAGGGTATCCCATTTTTCACTTTGATTACTTTGCTACTTCTTTATGAAACTAAATATGCTATATATATATATATATATATATATATATATATATATATATATATATATATATATATATATATATATATATATATATATATATATATATATATATATATATATATATATATATATATATATATATATATATATATATATATATATATATATATATATATATATATATATATATATATATATATATATATATATATATATATATATATATATATATATATATATATGTTTGTCCTAGCCTCCTTAGTTCCGGAAATACAGAGCGAATTTGTGATGCGCAGTAATGAACAGATGTTGAATACAGATATGATGCGCATTAGTGAACGCAACGTCTACCGGCAGCTAGACGGTCCGCACTCTGTTCAGGAGAGCATAGCAAAAGATATATTAAAGAACCAGCTTTCTTAAAATTCTCTCTCGAAAAAAAAAAACGTTACTAGTTCTTAGACTATAAGTAAAACAACGAAATCGTTATGGAAATGAAAATATAAAATGACACCAATCACAATCGTACATCCAGTGAACTGAGGCATGAAAATGCAATAAATTTAAAAACTGCGTAATTTTCTAACCAATCGAAGTCTTTAAATTCAACCAATAAAATTAATATCGTATCGCATTGTATCGTCGGACAACGGATGCTTAAAGCTTGATTTTCATGCATTCAATCATTATTGGTTTGGTTTGGTTTGGTTTAAACTAACTAAAAAATTATTGCGCGAATATTTTCTCGATTTAATTTCATTTTTCGACTGACTCAATCAATCTCAGTCAAATTCAAAAAATCAGTTTAGGTACTACAGCTTTAAACAAAGCAATCTAAAATTTTGACGTTAAGATAACTAAAGATGACAGTTAATTTTGACATTTAATATTTGTTGATAAGCTCCTACTATGTTTACGCAAAATATAAAAGACAACACTCGTAGTGTACAGGGCCGATCGCGCGATTTCACTCTGATTAGTGGAATTCGAGTTGGGTTTTGAAAAAAGTTTCTGTTTCTGCAAACAAAACTAGTTGAAATAGATTCAGTTTGGTGAAAATCCGACTTTACAGATATATCTCAAAAAACTGTACCTATTCGAGCTAGCCAATACCCCAAGCTAACTCTACCCCCACCAAAGGCATTTTGGACCAGTAGCGTGCCTCCAATTATTTGTTTTTTGAAGGAAACGTGAGCGGATAGCACGTGGCGACCCGCTTCCAAGCACAGCTTTCCTGTCGGCATCGATTCCCAGCTTTCGCAGTCACAGAAAAACCTCTGTGCGGTTCAGTTTGTGCCGGCAGTTGCGCCTGTGTCGCTTCCTCGACCTAGCGTCTGAAATTGTAGTAGTACTCGTATACAGTTATTTCAACAGCCGGTAGAAAAATAAAACAAGACTTTATTGAGTTTGGGTATAAGTTCTAGACGGTTTAAACAAATAGATAAAAAGGGATTCAAGTGAATTTCGAGAAAGTTGTGTTAAGGTGCAGCCAGCTGAGGTATCGATTTGAAGAAGTAAATCAATAAGGTAAGGACTGTTTATTTTAACATTATTATTTAAGTAATGGATATTTGTTAACACTTATTTGATATTTTTCTTGTACTGTTCTTTTTTATATTTTTGTTATAATATTGTTGTCTTTACAAATACATTAAAACATTTTACTTTGTATACTAGACGCGCGTTTCGCTAAGGTGGTAAAATAAAAATTAATCTTAGCGATTACAGTTCGGGGTTGCAACCTTTGGTGTTACAGCCAAATAAACCAATAATTCACCACAAAATACTATACTTTTTCACTGGATGCGCGTTTCCCATGAACCATGTTAGCATCATCAGCAGATGATTAAAAACTAAATTGTCTAGTGCAAAAGTAGTGTTTTGGTGTATTGTGGTGAATTATTGGTTTATTTTGCTGTTGTAATAACAAAGGTTTCAACTCCCAACTGTATTCGCTAAGATGATTAAAACAAACACTTTTTTAGTTCTAACCATTTGCTGGTGGTGTTAACGTAGTTAGCAACAGGTTTTAAAGAACGATTCTAGAGTAAAGTGTTATGCACTGCATTATGCAAATTTTACTTAAAAATGTGTAAATGAGCTTCAAAAAATATTTATTGTAGATATATTTAAAAAAAATATAGCAATATTTTTAGTAATAAAAAATAAAATTGAAAACTTAAAAAATACAGTGTTCGGCAGTAGTGCGTCGGGCATCTGTAGTTCCTAAAATGCAATTTTGTTTAAGTGCAAACCTAAACTATGTATTAGGATGTATTTCAGGAAAATAATTTAACCTCTACAAGGTGACTCAAAAAAGTGTGAGTGGATCAGGATGATTTTTTTTACATAACGCTGTACACTTATTACATTTTTGGCTTCTTTTCTGATCACTTTACATAATCTTAAGATATTTTTAAATAAGTTTCAGAGATATTAATAAATAAATAAAAAAAATATTTTTTTCGGCCTTTTTTTAAAAAAAATATTAAAAATACAAGAACTGTTCTGAATCAAAACTATATTAGGTGTTTACTTTAGATCGTCTGTACTTTTAATTTTTAACTCTATGGTACTTACTTTGCTATAAATATCGTAATCTTAAATCATACAGGGTGTTCAAAATTCTATGCCAAACTTTCTAAAATATAAGATAATTTTTCTTCGTTAATTTAAATGGTATACACCCTGTATATTATTTTTTTAATAGATGGAGAATTAAAAAATGAACAATTTTTAACGGCTTCGCAGATACTAGCGGTATTATTCATATGGCTTTTTCAACGGTAAAATACGGGAGAAAAATTATTGGGTGGCTTTGATAAAAGTTTACTATGGAAAATGCCATATGAAATATAAAAGCGCGAATCTCTGCGAAACCGTTAAAATTTTTGAAATACTCTAAATACAAAAAATGTTTATTTTTTAATTCTCCATTTACTAATAAAATAATATACAGGGTGTTCCATTTAAAAAACGAAGCAAATTTATTTTATATTTTAGAAAGTTTGGCGTAGAATTTTGAACATCCTGTATGATTTAAGATTACGATAATTATGGCAAAGTAAGTACAGACCATCTAAAGTAAATACCTAATCTAGTTTTGATTTCAGGACAGTTTTTGTATTTTTAATATTTTTTTTAAGAAAGGCTTAAAAATATAAATTTTTTATTTATTTATTAATATCTCTGAAACTATCGAAATATATCTACTCATATCTTAGAATTATGTAAAGTGATCTGAAAGGAAGCTAAAAATGCAATAATATACAAGGTGTTCTATTAAAAAAATCATCCCGATTCACTCACACTTTTTTGAGCCACCCTGTAGAAGTTAAAATATTTTTCTGAAATACATCCTAGTACGTACTTTAGGTTAGCACTTAAACAAAAAAAAATATTCTAGGAGCTACAGATGCCCGACGCACTATTACCGGACCCTATACTATAAAATATTCATTCACCCGAAATATTTTTCTGGGGAATGCATCTTTTTGGAATAGATTATCTCTTACTTTTTTGACAAAATATTCGTAGGATCCCGCTTTACTGCATTTTGTAATTACTATATATTTTAAAGAAGGTAGAGATAATTGTATCTTTTACAATTTTTTTTGTATAGTACGTTTATTGGATCTGTGTCTATGAAAGGAATTTCAAGAATGTAGACAAAATATTGAAACATATTTAAACAAACAGCAATAATATATTTTATAGATCACTACTGAAGTGTACTTTGTGCCATGCCAGATAAACAATCTATATGACAAACTGTCAAGGTCAAAGCCAACTCGATCATTAAACTCATTAATCATAAAAAATAGAGGATGTACCCCGTCAATAAAAATTCGACAAATGTGCAAGTAACCAATGTAATGAGTAGGCGGTATGTGCTTGGCGGTGACATATTGGTCAAGTCCACGTGGATTCTCTGCCGCGTGAATATAGGTAGCGATGGTAGCGATTGATTTCATCATAAACTTTAATCATATTGTATTACTTTGCAACAGGAGTACTGAGACATCTGGTATGTTTAATAAATAATAACACTTTAGTCATTTCCGCTGGTTTACGTAATTGTTTTAAGAAGAAAATCAGTGTCGGATTTTTTAAATATATAAACTATGAATATGTAGTACTAAATACTTTATATTGAATTTATATACCTAATGCAGGAAGTTTAAACAATAAGCTACACTATTTGTATGTTAAATGAGCAGCGCATTTGCTAAATATTTAACCATTCAGCATTTTCTATTATTCATTCATTGTGGAAATTATTTGCTTGAATCTTTATAATTAGAATTTTTTGTTATATTGATTTTGTAATGTTATATAGGACAATCGATAATTTTGGCGTGGTCAGTCTCTAGACGTAATTTAAAACGACTAATAAGTGATATAAAACTAAAAATTTATATAAAACTTCTCAAAACTTAATACTAATTATAGAAACAGACTAAAGATGAAAAATATATTAAAGATGAGAAAATAGACTCTTAAGGCGGCAGGCTGATTATGAATAGGCTGTGATTTAAAGCTAAATGACCATTTCAACACAAACGAATGAATAATTCAGAACGTTTTTAAAACATTGTGCGTATATTTTATATCTCGATAAGGAAATGAATTCTGTTTTATGGCAAATGTGACCTATTGACCGCGACCTATGATACATTTCCTTTAAGCCATTTTTTATTTTGTTACAATGGTTCTAAAAAAGTCTATATTTATGCAGGGGGTTCCAATAAACTATAATCGCAATGCAAATATCACTTTTCTAATGTAAATTATTTGTTGAAGTTAACTGTATCTACAGTATGTCCCCTGATTTTCTTTACAAGAGGAAAAACGTTTTTATTATTGACATTTTACGAAAAATGCATTCTTCGTAAAACTTTTTGTTTGTGCTAAAATGATTAATTCCGTTTATACTTTTCCAAATTTTCATACCCTTTAAGAGAAAATTAAAAAAAAAAAATGAAAATACCGGTGAAAAAACAGTTGACTTTTTAGTCTTATATTTTAAAGTCTTATAAATTAAATTGCGTTTCTATGGTAATATAATTTCGTTTTCATTCCTTGATAGATAGTTCATATTTTTTGCTGTTTTAAAATGTTAAAGAAGCACAAAATATATTTAGTTCAATGCTACGGAGAGGGTGATGATATGTAGTTATCGGAAAATGTGATACTTTAACGACAGCAAAAAATATGACGTTAATCAAAATTAATAATAACCATCTATCAAAGAATGAAATCGAAATTATATTATTTTCATTTTTAAATGTGTGTACGGGCTGCCATACTAGAGCCGGTCGGTATACAAGTTTCTTACAAGGTTCTTAAAAAACAAAATATATTATTTTTATTTACCCTTTCGAGGGGTGTACTCATTTTAGGGCATACACCGGGTGCGTCTCAAAAGTGGCCCACTCCTATAACTTTTTTGTTTTTTCAGATAAAAAAAACGAGTTTTGGTATGTTAGTATATGACATAAATTAGGATTGATTGACGTATTCAATTGGTTTCGGTGACTCCCTGTTTCACCGGAAATGACTACAACTTTTGATTTTTAAATGATACCCTCTGTATTTTGTTAGTTTATTCGATAGAAAATGACACTCTGAATAGAATGTCATATTATATGTCATCTTTTGACATATTTTCCAATATGGTGTATTTGAAATTGTAACATGCGATTCATAACGATAATTTGACTCAAAATACGAAGTGTGTAAATTATTCGTAAAAAAATGCCTGTTTTCAAATATGCTAATGAACCACCCTTGTTCCATTTGAAAAAAATTGAGAAATGATTAGAAATACGATTTGGGCATCTTTTAACCGGTCAGGACAAGGCACTAAGAACATTAGACGATCAATTTTTTTTTTCCAAGATTCCTTGATTAAAAATTAGTGTTTTAAACACAGCCACGGCACTCTATAGAATGAAATTTAGTACAATTTTGTATTAATGGAAAATGTCAAAAGTTGACATATAATATGTCATTCTATTCAGAGTGTCATTTTCTACCGAATAAAGTAAAAAAATACCGAGGGTGCCATTTAAAAATCATAAGTTGTAGTCATTTCCGGTGAAACAGGAAGTGACCAAAAAGAATTGAATACGCCAATCAATCCTAATTTATGTCATGTACTAACATACCAAATCTCGTTTTTTATCTAAAAAAAATAAAAAAAATTAAAGGGGTGAGTCACTTTTGAGATGCACCCGGTAGGTTCATAAGAAAACTTTTTGTTTTTTTTTCACCTGTAGAGTCATCCACCGAAGTTAAGTACACTATTTTTTGACAACCTGTATAATAATTGATATCGGGAGAGCCTGATGATAAAATGAATAATAAAGGCAGGATCCGCTGGCATTCAGTACTTCCCGGGAAAGTACTGCAGCCGATAATTTTCGTGGTTTACCGGCGACCTTCCCCATTGTTCGATGCTTGTACCGTCATTACCGAATCTGTTTAATTCGCCTATCTATTTCCATCATTATCGTCATTTAAAC